GCTGTACTGTGGCACATAGGAGCTCACGTTCAAGAGGTGTTTAACTCTTGGTTTCACGGATTTTACAGAAGGCTGATAGCTCCTCGCAAAATAAGGCTGTAAACATCGAGGCGGTTTTCTGTGGCCCAGTTCTAGTGCAGATGCTAAAGAATATATACGCGTATAGATATAGATGTATACACACGCACAGGCACACCGACCACAGGCAAAGCAATTTCCCTTTGTGTGTCGTATGAAATAGGTTGTTGGTATGAATGTATAATAAGCATGAGAAATAAAAATTACTTGCCTAAACAATAAATGCAACTTACGCTCTAGTCTTCCTGGTGCTGCACAACCAGTTGCAGGGAACAGTAAATGTACTTGTTCTCTCTTTGTTGGTTAAACTGCCTGTGACCTCAGGTGAAGTATGACCCCACTTAATAGTCTACCATAGGGCATGGTGGGCCAGAGCCGTGTTCCCCTTTGGGAAGGTGGCTGGGCCTTGCTTGTCGTTACAGCCTGCGCTGGGATCTTCCAGGAGCAGGACCTTCTCGCTCTGCTCTGTCTCAGAGCACTTGAGAGAGAGCCAGTAGCTCTTCTAAATCTGGCCTGGTTACAGGAATGTTAGGAAGTACTTTGTCTTCTGAAGTCCTTATAGCTGTCAATGATTACTGCTTCATTTTTTCCCCAGAAATCAGCAAGGTTTTTCACTAGAGAAAGAAGAATAAAACTGTGTGATGCAAGAGTTTACTAGCGGAGAATTTGTTTATTTTAAACCAGCCTTCACAAATCATTTCTCCCTGATAATGACAAGTTACCTCTTAAACCTATTAGCTACCTGTGATGCGTTTATGATGTCTACTGCTGCTATTACCTGATGCTAGTTCTTCATCAGACTATGATGAAAAGGGTAACCTTTTGGGAGGCTTCCAGAAGCCTCCCACAATTGCAAAGCTCCTTTTATCAACTACCTTCTCTGTTCTTGTTGGACAAAGTATTTAAAAAAAAAAAAAAAAGAGGGGGGCCATATTAATGCCTGTGTCCATTTACCTAACTATAGATGCAGTCAAAGATTGATTGAATTGTGTATTCTGAAAAAGTTTATTAAAAACAATAAGCTTAGTGTGTCTAAAAGAACTGTCCTGCTTTGAAGTTATTTATCTTTTTTCAGATAAATCGCTGCTTTGTCAGAAATAAGATGGACTCCAAGTTAATCTTAGCCACAAGGTATCCTGCTCTTCAGGAGCCTGTGTGGGATCTAATTCATCTCTGGAATTACTTTGCTGATTTAAATTTGTTGGCCTCCAAAGATATCTTGAAAGAGGTAGGAGGGCAGCAATGCGATGATAAACCAGATTATGTGCTAAAGCACATGAAATACATAGAGCTCTAGCACCTTCATTTGTCTTTCCTTAGAAATGGTTCTTTGCCCTTTCTTTCCTTGGATCACTGTTTCTGTGGAAGTGAGCAGCACAGGTCAGTATAGTCGGTAAGATGTGCATAGGATATCTATCCAGTGACGAATTTGGGATCTATTTTACAATAACGTGTAAATAACCTGTGATAAACAGCACTTCTCCAGTCACCCGTCCAGCGTAGCACGTGTTCTGCAGTCCATGCCTGGCTCTTGCACCAGCGGAAAGTGTTTACTCCAAGTAGGAATTGCTATAACTACAGAAAAGAGGGCAGAGCTCTTCTCTGAATGTCTTTGAGGGCTTAGCGCCCCGTGCCTGTTGCCCTTAATAGCACTGGGAAGAACGACTAAGCTGGCCTGTGCTGGGTCTGTCCGTGCGGGTCTGTCGAGAGAAGCAGAACGGTTGAAATAGGTCGAGTGGTGGAGAAGGAGTTAGAGAAGGGGTGCCCTGAGCGTGCAGGTCACGGCGGAGCCCCTAACGTAGGGATCGGGTGAGGGAGGCTCAGTCACACAGAGGCCAGCGGCACCGAGCTAGCTGTCCCTCAGCACGTACCCTGAACTGTGCATGGCAGGTCAGTATGGGTCCTGGTTGTCTTCTTTTCTGGTGGTGAAGGACACGGGTTTTAACATGACATCCGTCCTTGAAGCCCGGGGTAGTCCTTTTCCAGTATAAGGCTCTCTTGCTGCATGGTATTTGCAAACCCAGCAACCAGTGCCCTCAGAGCTCCCCAACTAGTCCAGTTTCAAAGCACAACTGATTTATGAAATTCTGCTGTCCTCTAACAAAGATCTGTACTAGAAAGCCTGCTTTAGGAGACAGGAGCCTTTTCAATCACTGACACGCTATGTGAATACTCCTTGAGTCAAAGTAGATAGGTGTTTTTTCTAGTGCTGAGTCTTTTCATTGCCCTGTGAATGTGAAATTTTTATTTTTATGCCACCAAAGAGCTTAGGACACAGCTCTTTACACAGTCAGGTTTGATTTCGTAGTATTCTTTGTCATAGTGAAAGTTTTCTTTTGAGCCCCTAATATTGTCTCTCCCAGGAACTCCCCGACACTTCTTTATTCCTCTCTTTTTCCCAAGAGAGCTTCATCCCATTGCCAGTATATGTTAAAGCCTTTTTGATCCTGGATACAATGCAAATGTTTTGCTGTGAGCGAGTTCCTGCTATGGGAGGTTTGGGCATGGATCTCAGCAGCTTTTCATTGGACCTAAGTGGACCTCCTTTGTGGAGGGAGGGTAGTACAGTACTACTGGATCTGGTGGCAACTGTCTAGTTCAGCTGGTGTACTCTGTTATATTACATCTCTAGGTGGTGCATAAATGTCAAGTGAAACGCCCAAGAAAAGAAATAAATGAAGAAGCACGAAAAATATGCCTTTCCTTTGAACAGCTTGCTCTATTAGTGTTCAGAGCCTATTTTTAAAATAGGCCCCATTTTAAATTAAGAAATAGATCTGCAGATTTCAGTGATGGGTATATTGCCTCGGCTTTCCAAATTACTTAATGCTATTTGGGACGTTTGTCTAGAAGCAGAGCAACACCAGAAGATGAATCGGTGGAATTTAGGCTACTGCAGATGCTGATCGTGTGGGGACGGCAAGGATGTGGGAGTCCCGTGATGAGGCAGGGCAGGAAAAATGAGGTCCTGGAAACCTAGGACCTTCCTTGTGACAAAAGCTGTTTTGCTTGTAATTCAGTTTGCAAGTGGGAGGCATAGATTTATTAGTTGGTTTCAGCTGATAAATGACGAGGGGATTTGTTGTGCCTTGACGTCTGTGGTCCTCTGAGGTGGAACCTGCAGAATATACAGCAGCCAGCCAGCTGGGTGTGTGCATTTAGTCTGAGTTTTAAAGAGCACAGTAGTGTTCCTCTCTCTCTGGTGGATGGCCCAGTTAGTCATTTGCCCAGTTGTGTTTCTTGTGGCGGTAAAACAAGCCATTTTTCAGAGAGTTGCCAGTTGTTTGGGTCTCGAACCCCTAAACAGAACAGGTTAATTATTAAGACCTGGATGTTCTTCACCAGAAAAATGTGTGCTTGCAGCAACATGTAAACTGTGCCACAAGCAATAGACAGCACGGACAGAGCTGTTCATAATTTGGCCTTCTATATAAAAACGGAGACGTAGCAATAAGCTTTGGGAACGCAGGTAGAGCAAACTCTGCCAGGCCCAACAGGTCTCATGTTTTCAACACAGAACAAGTGGAGGAAGAAGGCCTGGATGGAGGGGATGCAGGAAGGGTGGAATACCTGGTGCTCAAAACTGTTGTCTTTGCTGGGTTTTTCAAGGGAGCACCACAGAGTCGGGCATCTGCATTTGATTAGATCCTTCAAAACTCCCAGCCTAGATACCATGCGTTCCAAAAATAACCTCCCCGATCAGAGCTGTTGCTGCAGCTTCCTACCCCCTCCCAATATTTTCCATGTGTTTTGGTAACTCAGAGAAAGGAACAAAATTTGGGGCAATGCGGCTGGGAAAGTTGTGGGTTTTCCCTAATAGTGCAAATCTGTCGTCATTGGAAAGGTAGGCAGGTTTGTCAGAAGGACTCCAGCGTGATGAGCGTGCCACCCCACCTGGTCACTGGGGAACGACCTGACCTGATAATTGGCACCTCTAGACCCTCACAGGATGAGACACGGTGCTGCTCTCATCCTGTAGCACACCTTGCACTGACCTGGACCCCTCATCGATGTGAAGACCATCTGTGAGAGGCCTCCAGGGTTGTTCTCTCTGAGTGCCAAGCTCTCGGATTGAACAGACCCTCGAGATGTTCTCCCTCCTTCTGGTATGGAAGCTGCAGTCCCCTTGGGTGAATTGCACCCAGACAAAACAGAAGGAGACCCTACCAAAACTGTACCATGAAAGCAACTTTTCTTCTTTTATTTCTCAAATTTTTCCTCTGTTTCTCAAGCTGCAGCAATACTTAGTATCACAGAACGAACAGGGTGGACAACCAGACATGAGAATAAATGAAATGCCACTTCAGGTGCTAACTTTTTGCAGTTTACGTTGGAAACGGTTGTCGTACAAAATGTCCAGACAGAAGCACGATGAGTACAGCTACGTGTTGGCCTAGGAATCGGTAAGTTCAGTTCAAATATTAATAGTTTATCCGCAATATTTGACTTAATGCAATTTCTCAAATAACAGATTGACAAATTGCAGGAACAGGCTTAGGCTTCCCAGAAGCAGCTAAAGCAGCAGTGCCAAGGAGGACCCACTGCTGAGCAAAGGGAAACGCAGTCTGTTAAACAAAGAAGTGACTTTATTGGATTAGTCTTGCTCTATTTCTTAGTCCCGCAGTCAATTACAATGTTCTAGCGGAAGAGTTTTGTCAGGGAGCTGGGAGAGCTGGCTGCTCCCTGCTGGCTGGGAAGCCGGGAGCTGCAGGGATCCTCAGGCCAGCAGGGCAGGGGCTTCAGCAGCCAGGGGCCCGCCCCACCCCCCAACGAGGCCGCACGGGGGG